CTCCAATGGAGACCGGCGCTGGAGAGGAGTAGGTTGAGCCTATTCTCACTCGGAATGACCTGTCTGATAGGAACGCCTTGATCCAGCGAAGGATTTTCCCTTGAATCCCGTAAGACTCGAGTTTGTGGAGCAGCGGGACGTGCGGGACCCTATCAAATGCTTTTGAGAAGTCGAAAAATATGGCATCCGATATGAGTCCTTCGTCCTTGGCTTGGGTTAAGCTGTCCATAAACACGGGCATGTTTGTCACGCAAGAACGGTTTGGGAGAAATCCGTGCTGAGCTGGAGATATCAGGTTGCCGGAAGCGAGGTGATCTAAGATAGCTGGTTTCAGAATGCGTTCCATCACCTTGCACGGCACGTGAGTGGGGCTTATAGGCCCGTAGCTGCCAGGCGATAGTCGGTCACCAGTTTTGCAGATTGGCATGACAATCGATTTCTTGCAAGCAGAGGGAAGGCGCCCTCCGTCAAGCGAATGACGAAGGTGTAGATCATTTGCCATTGTGGAGGACATTTCTTTTAGGATCCTTGGATGGACCTCGTCGGGCCTGGACACGCAGAATGGGTCGATCTGGTGCAAGAGCTGACGAATGTATCCCACCTTGAAGACCAAGTCGGTTAGAGGCTGTTCGTAGTTCCGCTTTGAGTCCGGTTTGAGTGGGCATCAGCAGACTCGGATCCGAATTTGTTCAACGCTGCTGGGATTCCCAAACTGAGGTGCTAAAGGTGGAAAACGTAGTTCAACTCCGAAGGTGTGCAAAGCGAGAGCGAAGCTGCGGAGGTCGCACGCGCTTAATATGATTTCAACAGTGTTCAACCTGAAGGGCATAATCCTTCGCATAATCCTGTATTGGAGGTATGGAGCTCAATACTTTGGCTAACGCGTCAGTTAACTCACATGAGGTGAAAAACCAGCGAGACTGGGGAAGTATCTGTTTTCCTTGAAAGCCTGAATGGTCAACATGAAAGTGCACGTAGCTGAAGCTAAAACCAGTCAGAAAGAACACCGTGGTGTAAATATATGTGAAATCCTGTCCTCAAAAAATCAAATAACACTCCAATTCCTCAACCCGGGAAAGTGCCGGGATATTCAAAGAATGAACATTATTCGGGATATTCTGATAAAACTAATAATAAGCTTGGCTGATGGGTGAATGCATCATCATCCTTCGCTCTTGAGCGGTCGACGAAATTCTCCTGAGGTTTCGAAAGAGCCCTAGGTGCACACGTTGGGCGGAAGGGAATTTAGCACAATGGAAAACGGCGAGATGACGCTGTTTATTGTGTGGTGTTTTGTACCTTTATTTTGCTTTCATTATAACAGTACGTATTTCATTAATTGCATGATATTTTTTGTTTGAATACCAAAAACTACAAACCGCGCACATGTACGAAATGCACGGAATACAGACGTGGTCGCGTGCTTCGACTCTCTCTTCTGATTTCGCTCGCGCCTGCAGTGGTCATTCGCGAGTCTCCTCTGCTAACTCTGGTATCAAAACATTTTAGATCACCTTCGGAGTCTTTGTGGAAGCTGTTCAGAAGAACACCCCCTGGATAAACATGATCGGATTATTGTTTATTCGCTGACCTATTTTGAAGAGAACAATTGTTAGTGAGTGTGTTCCATTTGACCTCTTTATTATTGTATACCAAGTCTGTATCAAAACTTTTAGATCACCTTCGGAGTCTTTGTGGAAGCTGTTCAGAAGAACACCCCCTGGATAAACATGATCGGATTATTGTTTATTCGCTGACCTATTTTGAAGAGAACAATTGTTAGTGAGTGTGTTCCATTTGACCTCTTTATTATTGTATACCAAGTCTAGCGTTTAGTATTTTTATTTCTTTGCCACACACACCCTGTGTGGTAACTCATTGATTAGCCAGTCCACTACAAAGGATTTCCGTGTTGCCTCCCTGCGATCTAAATTTCGTTTCCAACTCGCGAGAGAGAATACACATAGAGGAAGATAAATTCGCCCGGTTCGCAGCTGCATGAACGAAATCCTCGTGGGAAGCAACGTTATACATCCTCCCCAGCGGGTGATCGATATTTTACTGGCGATACCTTAAATCCAATGGCGGAAACTGAGCATTCCAGGGACCTTAATTCAGGATGCCGTTCAGCGCCATGCTTGCGTGTCTTACGTCTTTGGCATCGCTGGGATTAAAGAATCTGCGGATGCAGAGAGTTGGTAAATTTCAGTGTGGACCAGGCTACGAGTACTTCGAGAACCTGATGGCTTTCGTGTTGTTCGAACCTGTGCGGACTGATACAGACCCGCCTGATGATATAACTATCGCGGTATCAATGATGCTCAATACGCAGTAGCTATATGTATCTCACTCCGGGACGTAACCGAGTCAAGTTTTATCGCTATTTATTATCTTGGATGTCCACGGCGAACGCAACGTAACAACTCAGAAATCAGAGTCCATTATTGACTGGGTGTGGTTTATTTATGACATCGGGTTTCAGATTACGATAATTCCAGGGAAAATGTGGACATATATTGGCCGCCGACTTAGATTATTAGTGTCTAAGTATGAACAGCAGTTCCAAGGAGCACTTTCGCAACTCGCCGATCGCATGTTCAGGGCGTACAAGTACATTTACCATCACATTGGATCAGTAATCATTGTTTGTCAATTTGTCGACTGTTATCCACATACCGACCCAACACATCTGTGCTTAGTTGCCCCGGGCTCGACGGGGACGGTTATTTCGTTGCAGTCCGTTTCAACATTCAGCTTTTGTACAACGTCCGAAAATCTCACTTCTGACTAGACGAAAAGCGGGAAAAGTTCTTTCTTTCCTGAGTTGTTTTAAGCAGTGCATGATGGCGTCCGGAAGAACTATATGATAAACCTGATACAGATGTACGCTGGATGGCACCACCACGAAAAAGGTGCCTGGCACGCTGAAGAATGCATCCTTTCGCGAGGAAATTTCCCCGCGTGCCTTACACCAACTATGGCACAAGCAATGTTAAGAACAGATTCTTTCGACGGAAACCCACGTAAAATTGGAATTTTATGATAAGTTTCCCAGTGAAAGTCACCAACCGGGGTGTAGACCACTCAGGGGCCAACGTACTTTCTCTAACTACCGGACCGGAGAATCCAAGGCAGCAATAGAGAACTGCGTGCAGCGGCTTCGTTGAGGCGATGGATATACTTAATAAGGATTCGGATATCCCCAGTACATGGCGCAAAGCTTTATTTATAGTGAACTGGTCGGATTTCCCAATGCTGATGAGGATATTGACGCACTAAGGAAGCTGATACGTTGGATGCATAGTTGCGAGATAGGGTTATATTTTCGACTTAAATTGCACGAAAAATCCTACGTGGATTTCGATGCGCCCTCCAGGCACCTCCAACGACGACGGGCGAAGCCAGCTGACCCTTTCTATATGAACAAAATAAGCCGTCCCTCCCTCAAATTTCTCAGCTGCTAAAACGTTATCTTTGGCAGCAAGAAACTTTAATGGACAGCTGGCTAGTGGCCTAACCAGTAGAAGTGTGGAACATATAAAGCGATGCAATACGTTCCCTCGTCTACACGATTCATCTAGGGCTCTGGGTTGTCCGATGGGTGCGGCCCACCCTCCCCTATGCGATCGCACCGCATTCCAAGCCAAGTCTCCAGAAGAGAAACTTCAGGCGTTGAGGTAACATAAACTGTGTCACCGAGAAGTCAAAGTACGAGCCTTCCATGACTGCAATGTACCGAGATGTGGCAAACACCATCATTTTTAATGCACATAGAACCCTAATTAAGCCGCTTACTGGTAATATAAACTCGAATTCAGTGGAGGTCCTATCGGCATTCCTAGTGTATTTAAGTGCGCCTCGTCAGCCCCAACGGCGCCTTACTATGCTGCACACTTCTGTGCAGCGGATCAGTTTCTACTTTGGTGTCGCTCATAGCGGCTAACCGGAGTGGGCTGAAGAGTTCCTCAACAGAATTGGGTTTTAGCTCAATCAGCGGAACGTAGATGAACAGTACAACAGATATTAGTTTGACCACTGAGTCCTCGAACAAAGAGACGCACGTGGGAACAGTGTATTCAAAGGAACAGCTGCCCCTGAGGCCAGCAGTACTGTTTCACGAGACCCTTTGTCACTGGTCCCAGCTGCAAGACATTAAACTCCCTCGAATCGCATCACAAAAGTTGTCTATTCTAATTGGTACGAATGTACCAGATGCGCACCAGATAGCAGAGCAGCGTATCCGGACCAGTAGGCAACCGCGGGCATCATAAGCAATATTCGAGTTGATTATCTTTGGTCCATCAGGCATCGGCGGTAGGAAAGCCACAACAATAAACTTCTTAATCACGCAGAAAACTACAGAAAACCACACAATACGTTCGTTTAAACTCATATTGAATGATCGAAGACCCAAATCTGATATATATATATATATCGATCGAGAAAAAACAAGTGCTAGGTATAGCGAAGCGATAAATCAGTCTGTTATTTGTGAATGGTCAACTGGGCAAAATTGCTCTGTCACAAACCCCCCGATGATCCTCTTGGGAGATCACCAAGTAACGCGAGGCATCGGTAATCACTGTCATGAACTTGAAGGTCATAGTCTAGCAGCTATATGGCAACGGTATTAGGGCTACCATCACCGTCATGGCATTTTCTCGATTCATCAGTTGACGAGGAACTTCAAAGTAGGCGTGCAGTGATGAGGGCACCAATTGTGTTGGGTCAGAAACGAAGTCGAAATAAAGCTTGTAGACATTAGAGTGCAGCAAAGTGAGGGGCAATATGTTATGGCTACAAGTTGGCTGGCACTTTAATCCCCTTATGCCAGCCACAGGGATGACGTCTATGAGAGGTGGATAAAGTGGATTCGACGTGGTCTGAGTGCAGTTTCTTGAAAGCAGGCGCTAAAAGAAGAGCCGTTGACGACCTATCTAACGGAAGTAAAAGAAATACTGAACAAATACTAGTTGGTCTGATGCTAGATGATCCTGATATCATTGAGATTTTGACCCCGAACCACCTGTTGCTACCACCATCGGCATTTGTCTCTATTGACAAAGATCCAGAACTACAATACGGATGCACTCGGCAGTGGAGGGAGAGTCCATTGGTGCTGCTGGCTGAGTGAATGCCTTCCGGGGATAAGTCGACGACCCTCAGAAGAAACTTAAGAGTGAGTGATCTCGTACTGATACTCGGAGAGCAAAACACGCACGGTACCTGGTTGAAAAGAATTTTAGAAGCCCCTATACCTAAATCGGATGGGTTTTTGAGAACGGCGATGCTCAAGAACCCCGATGGTTCAGCGACCAGAGATACACGGGAGATATGTATGCCATAATGTGAGCCGTATGAGCTCAGTCACCGTACGGGACATGAAAGACTGGGGGTGAATGTGACTTCAGCCAATTGTACCACTTTGCCCTTCATGGTCGCTAGTGTCCGGCGGTGAGTGCGAGTAGATTAGGAAAGCCAAGTTGGTCCTGTTAGGGAGGTGTATTCTTTTCCTCCGATCAAACCCTTCCCTCTTCTGAGCCTGCTGTGTACTGCATCCACCATAAAGGCACGACATTCACTCGTAATACTTCACAAACGTTTAACGCTTAACACGTCAAACCAATTTGGTCGACCATCTTGTACGCTTCCCTCTTGACATTTTGCGTTACCGGGTGCTGTGCGCAGGTATGCTGCTAAGTGAGACCGGTTTTCCATTATTTCCAGGTTTTCTTTGAACTTCCACTACTTCGTGCAACGATTAAGACAGAAACCTCGTAATGTGGATGTTGTGCGTCCTTTCTATTATGCATTTCATTCGTGTGGTACCGCACGTTATTGACAAATCTCAAGAATCCACACTTTCTGGCCCGTGATTTTGCGTGTCATTCATTTGGGTTTCCCCAAATACGTCAAAGTACTCTACACAGTCAGTGTCACATTTTCTCTTCCTGTTCCATATCAATGGATGCAAAAAACACAAAGATGCAAATGATGCCATTATGCGTGAAGAAAATTTAATATGGATGAACACCCGCCTAGAGCAGGAGGCTTGAAAGCAAGTGCAATTTTTGCCTGTAATTTTTATTAGGACGAAAGCCACTGAACAAGCTCGATTCGGACGGCTTGGACGCAAATCTCGATCCTGTTTATTAACCCGTAAATCCGTTGATGTATAACCACCATCTATCCTACCGATACTTTGAATTGTGAATCCGTTACCCGCCAGGGTTCACTGGATTCAACGGTTACTCCTCCCAGGCTGTAGCATTCACCATTTAGTAGACCCGCTGTAGGCGCATGCGTCCTCATTCAGGATTTCCCACATGTAATCGTATCACTCACACAGTGTCCCTCATACGCACACGGTATTGTGTTTCGTCCCAAGTAGATTTTATGCTCCCTCGCGCTGTTAAGCTGAGTATTTTTACGCAAACTAACTGAACGGTCACTGTCACGATTGCGTTCAGGCACAAACCAGCGTCCTAAATCTACGGAATGTGTTATCCGCTACTTGACGAGATGGCGATTACACTTCTTGTGACTTCACCTTCTTGAGCTGCCTTTTGGTTTAACTTAATTTTTGTTCACCCTCCTGAATCATTTTGTCATCTTTGGATTGTATGAATGTTTCAGTAGGCACTATTTCCTCAGTCTTCTTCTTCATGGCTCCGTGAACCGTTTAAGACCTTGGTTACTCAAAGCCCATTTTCCTTGTAGCGTTCTAATGCGGTGTAGCTATCACTGTGTCTGTTTGTGGATTTCTTTTTTAAGCAGGAGGCACCCATCAACGTACATGCGTTTTATTTCTGCCTAATCCAGCATATGGACTGTGTTGTGGAGAATCCATGCGATTTCCATTCTTCGTCCAAGATAGGGCGTGGTAATCGTTCGTTGCGTTGAATAATAATAGTAATAATGGTAACAACAGGGTTGTATCCTAATTTATAGGGAACATACAAATCGACACTTGATCGGGTGGTTGTTCGCGCCGTCTGGCTGAAAGCTTCCTCCTCGTCTATCCTACTTTGGCTTCGCCACGGTTCTTGTGTTGAACATTAGGAACCTTCCTAGTCAGGAGACGGTGTTCGTCAAACCCCTATCGATTGACCCACCTGGTACGAGAGATTCTGTGGGTGTCAATGGGACACTCTGCAATATAGCTCAAGGGATCGCTGAGATGCGCAAACCGTCACACCACGGTAAGGTTCAGTCTCTTCGTGACTTGGGCTTCCTGACCCTTAGGCCTAGTGTATCTGAGACTCAGTTAGAAGGTCGACAGGGATTAGACTCGGCAAGTACAGAGAACGGGGAACAGTTGCTTCAGCTGTGTGC